TGAAATAGCACGTTGAAAAGCCCATGAGGTGTACTTTCAAAATATAAACACTCCTGAAAGATTAATCGAACCATTTTTTTTAAATATTTTTCCTAAAATCAAGTGTTTTCTACAGGGAAACATAAAATGGCCCACTGTGCAGCAATAAAAAATAGTGCCGCATATGAATGTCACTGCAGGAAATGTCGTTCCAAGAGCTTTCTAAAACGCTGTTACTTGGCCAAATCGATCGTATTTTTCAAAAGTTATCAACGAATTCCCCTGTGCAAAAACTAAAAATAGTGCAAGCTCATGCAATAGCACGTTGGAAAGCCCATGAGGTGTACTTTCAAGATATAAACACTCCTGAAAGATTAATCGGGCAGTTTTTTTTTAAATATTTTTCCTAAAATCAAGTGTTTTCTAGAGGGAAACATAAAATGGCCCACTGTGCAGCAGTAAAAAATAGTGCATGCATATGAATGGCACTGCAGGAAAGACCATTCAAACAGCTTTCTAAAACGCTATTACTTGGCCAAATCGATCGTGGAAAATTAGAGACAAATTGATTTTTCTTATTTTTCAAAAGTTATCATCGAGTCCCACTGTGCGGAAACTAAAAATAGTGCAAGCTCATGAAATAGCACGTTGAAAAGCCCATGAGGTGTACTTTCAAAATATAAACACTCCTGAAAGATTAATCGAACCATTTTTTTTAAATATTTTTCCTAAAATCAAGTGTTTTCTAGAGGGAAACATAAAATGGCCCACTGTGCAGCAGTAAAAAATAGTGCATGCATATGAATGGCACTGCAGGAAAGACCATTCAAACAGCTTTCTAAAACGCTATTACTTGGCCAAATCGATCGTGGAAAATTAGAGACAAATTGATTTTTCTTATTTTTCAAAAGTTATCATCGAGTCCCACTGTGCGGAAACTAAAAATAGTGCAAGCTCATGAAATAGCACGTTGGAAAGCCCATGCAGTGTACTTTCAAGACATAAACTACTAAAAGATTAATCGGACAGATTTTTTTTAAATATTTTTTCTAAAATCAAGTGTTTTCTGAAGGGGAAACATAAAATGGCTCACTGTGCAGCAATAAAAAATAGTGCCGCATATGAATGGCACTGCAGGAAATGTCGTTCCAAGAGCTTTCTAAAACGCTGTTACTTGGCCAAATCGATCGTATTTTTCAAAAGTTATCAACGAATTCCCCTGTACGAAAACTACAAATAGTGCAAGCTCATGGAATAGCACGTTGGAAAGCCCATGAGGTGAACTTTTAAGATATAAACACTCCTGAAAGATTAAGCGGCCAGATTGTTTTTTTTTTTAAATATTTTGCTTAAAATCAAGTGTTTTCTAGAGGGAAACATAAAATGGCCCTGTTAATATAAAGCGGACCTAGTGGGATTCAGTTCAAACACATAAATTTGAACTGACACTTACTGTCCTTAAAATTCTCCTTACAAGCACATAAACTTGAAGGAAAGACGATCATTATTAAATAAATCCAAATGGGTTATGGTCGCTTCATAAAAGACAACTGATTAACTCTTTATTATTTTTATTCTTTTATACAAATATTTTCTTAGCATAATTGATTACTTGCATAAAGTAAAACTAGGTCAAATATTATTAATACAAAGTGAGTAAATGAAATTGTTAAATATTGAACCTAAATAAACGTTAATAAATGGCTTACAGGAAAATGCTGAATCAACAAACTAGAATAAAGCTGTAAATACGTCACAACTAAACTACAACTTAAATATAAATATGTATGTAAATACGTATGTGTTAACATTCTCCACCGCGTTGACAGTGTTCAAGCAGAAACGGAGCCATTTGTCGCTGATTGGTGAGTTCTTACAGCTGGAGTAGGTGTAAATTGAGCTGGTTTGTTGAACCTTAAATGCATTCTTCGACTCAGCAGAATAATAATGCAGCAACATAACGAGGTGTAGCTAACTGCGTGATGGTGAAGACTGGTGGCGTGGATAAGTTGTGGCAAATGCTTAAGAGTTGATTCATTCAACTGCCGTTGCATATTATCCAATACTTCCACATGAACCTTGTAAGAAGAAGTGTTCGTGAGCGTTAAAATCTTTTCTATTTCCTGTGGTGAGCTTATAGAATGGATGTCTTTTAATCTCACATATGAAGTGTGTATGCTGTTTGGGGGTTCAAAATGTCCATGTATGGTAACAAAATGGTTCTTCATGACACAGTTGGAACCCATCTCCATTATTCCGGCATTCTTGATGCTGATAAGATTTGTCTCCGTACCGCACACAATAGAAGATTCCACATTGACAGTAGTAGCGAAGATCCATTTATTTTGATGATGCAATTGGGTCCAAACTGTAGATCCAATAATCTTGTTGAGATTGCAATTGGCAGTTGAATGATTATTAAAGATATTGACTTCACAGGGGTTGGCGACTGCGTTCCTCCGGAGTTTGGACCGCTGATTTCTACAGATGTATTCGTCATTCTTTGGTTTAAGTCATCTTGATATGTCCTCAGGTTGGAACAGTATGTATTCGTATCTGTGCGCATCTGTAGCCAAGTATGACTTTTCTGGCTTATGGGCTATTAGAGTGCTTTATGGGGCTATTTGCGATCTTCATTCTTTTCCTCGGGATGGTATCTTTCCCATCTTCCTCTTGCCTAGAAGAGCCGATGTCACCCTGCGTTGTCTGGTCTGTGGATAATTCACTATGCTCCTCTGGAAACAGTGGAGCCAGCCTCTGAATGGCCCGTTTGTATACTCCAGGTGGTGTTTTCACATTCGCAACTCGTACAGCTCCATCGTCACCAGCGAACACATTGGGAATTCTTGACAATGGCCACGTCATTGGTGGTAAATTATCTTCCTTGATGATGACCATATCACCTTTCCGAAGATTGTTCATCTTTCTCCTCCATTTGTTCCGTTGTTGCAGTTCGTGGAGGTATTCATCCGACCATCTTCTCCAGAACTGCTGCTTAATATGTGAGAGCAGCTTCCAATGAGATGTGCTGGATGTCTTAACAGATTCTGCTCTGCTGTTTACTTGTGTAGTTAAAGCCTCCCCGATTAAAAGTGTCCTGGTGTCAATGCTTCAAAACAATCAGGATCGTTTGACAAAGGCGTGGGCGGCTGGGAATTTAGGATTGCTTCTATCTCGATTATGATCGTTTCCAATTCCTCATGTGTTTTCCGTTGACACGCTACGTACCAAGAGGCGTTTCGCGGACTTTACTGCTGCTTCCCATAACCCTCCGAAATGCGGTGCTCTTGGTGGGATGAAATGAAAGTGAATGCCTTTAGCGCTTGAGGTTGAAATAATTGATTCTTGTGCTTTATCCGAATATATATTTTCAGATAGCTCCGCTAAATTATTCTTGGCTCCAACGAAGTTCGTAGCATTGTCGCAATATATGTTTTGGCAGTGTCCACGCCGCGCAATGAAGCGTTTAAGTGCGCCAATAAAAGCTTCTGTGGATAAATCAGACACAAGTTCTAGGTGAAATGCCTTTGTCGCAAAGCAGCAGAAGACAGCTACATAAGCCTTGTTTGGTCGCTTACCCCTCACTTTGTAATGTATCCAAAATCGCCCACAATAATCAACTCCAGAGTTTATAAATGGCCGTGCGGGAATTACTCTTGTTGCTGGCAGCTGTCCCATTATTTGTTGATACAGCTGAGGTCGTGCTCTGGTGCACCTTATACATTTTTGAATCGTTGATCTGGCAGTTATTTTCCCTCTGATTGGCCAAAATCGTTGTCTTATTGTGTTTAACAGCGCTTGAAGTCCACAATGTTTGTTTTCTTCATGAATCGTCGTAAAAAACAATTTTACTAATGGACCGTTATATGGCAATATTATTGGATGTTTTGCCTCCGGTTGAAGCATAGAATGTTCCAATCTTCCACCTACGCGAAGGACACCTTCTTCATCCAAGTACGGCGACAGGTTGCTTAGAGAGCTGTGTTTGCTAATTTGCTTCTCAGCTTTCAACTCTTTTATTTCAGTTGCGAATTCTGCCGATTGTATAGCATGAGTAATTAACCGGAGGGAGTCATCTAACTCCTCAGGGTTAAGGGCCTTACTTCTGGGCCGCTGAGACCTTTGCATCCACGCTTTTCTTATGAATCTGAGGACGTATGACACAGTCCTTTGTAGTCTCCTGAAGGAATTTTTGTGATCGATTCCATCTATAAAGTGGATGTCAGAGGTTACTATAGCAGTCGTAGCGACAACCTTTAGCTCCATGTTATTTGTAAGAGCATTTTGAGGAGGACATTTAGCAGGCCACAACTCCTCCTTTCCGTGAAGAAAAACTGGACCATGAAACCATAATCGGCTCTTATATAGGTCTACTGTTTGCAGGCCTCGAGAAAGCATGTCGGCAGGATTCTCCTTTGACGGAACGTGCTTCCATTGCTCTGGTAATGACAATGTTTGAATGACTGACACCCTATTTGCCACAAATGTCTTATATAAGGTTGACCGGGATTTTATCCAGGCAAGGACAATTTCCGAGTCGGTCCATAGTAACATGGGATGACTTTGAAGCTTTAAGTCAATCCTTACTCTATTACCCAGTTCAGCTGCTACCACTGCGGCACAAAGCTCTAGTCGAGGAAATGTTTGCTGTTTCAACGGAGCAATTCTGGATTTAGCGCAGATCAGGCGTACAGCTACGGGACCATCCTTTGTAACAAAGCGAATGTATACAGCAGCGCCAAACGCTTTCTCCGACGCATCGGCAAACACATGTAATTGCACCTTTGCCGGAATCTGCCCACCGAATACATGTCGTGGTATTTTGAAATTGTTGAGACCTTCCAACTCGCTTCGAAATGTTTTCCAGGTAGCACAAAGTTTTTCGGGTAATGGTTCATCCCATCCTAATGCAAGTTGCCACAGCTGCTGGATAAACATCTTTGCTTTTACAACAATTGGTGCAAGCAGACCAAGAGGATCAAAGAGTTTCGCTAGCTCAGACGTAACTGATCATTTCGTTATTACTTGACAATGATCACTATTTGCCTTCGGTCGGCCTGAGGCATCCAAAATAGTCCCAAAGTCTTCTTCGTTTTGCTTTCTTCAAAATCTAGATTGACTTCCCTATCACTATAAGGTATATCCTTTAGCAATCTTGAACTGTTTGACGACCATTTTTTTAAATTGAAGCCGTGCTTTTTCAAAATGATTATCAATTCCTTTTGTGTCTCCATCGCTATGTTTAAGCTATCAGAACCACCGAGACCATCGTCCATATGAAAGTTCTCTTTTAGCATTTCTGAACCAAGGGGATAGCGATCCAAGTTGTCGTCTGCGATTTTCTGTAGACACTTTGTGGCAAGGTACGGTGCTGCACGAGTAAAAGTATTGAGCTTGTATTAGCTAACTGGGTGCGATGGATCTTCCCTCCAAATGATCAGTTGATATTTCTGATCATCGGGGTGAATTAAGATTTGTCTATACATTTTTTCAATGTCAGTTGTCAAGACAAACTTTGGTAATCGGAACCGTAGCAGGATAGAGAACAGTTCACTTTGCACAGTTGGTCCTGTGTACATTAAGTCATTTAACGAATGACCCGATGACGTTTTCGCGGATGCATCAAATAACACCCTTAATTTTGTCGTGGTACTATCTGGTTTAAGCACACAGTGATGCGGAATGAAATATTTAGGGTTCGACACTATATTCACGTCAATTTTCTGCATGTGTCCCAGCATTTGATATTCCTGCATGAACTTGATGTATTGCATGCGGATATCATCCTTCCATGAACCGGTTATCGCCATCGCATGAGATTTTTCCAATGTTGTTGGAGATTCTTGGAAAGGAAGACTAACAATGAATCGACCGTTCTGATCCGTCTGGACATGCTGATTATAATGAGACTCGCACCGGGTTTCCAGCGGAGACATTACCCTTTCTGTTGATGCTACTTCTTCGAGTTTCCATAACTTCTCAATTGCTTGTGCCAGTGAAGTTTCACTATCGAAAATTGCACATGTTAGCGCTGCTGATGTGACGTTCGTTGATAATTGTTCTATTAAGCCGCCTACAATCCAGCCAAGCGCAGTATTCTGCAGAATAGGTTGATTATTATTCAGTTTTATTGTACCCGGTTGCATTAGGCTGAAGTAAAACTCCGCCCCGAGTAGGATGTCAATTTTTCCTTGAATATTAAAATTTAGATCGGCCAATTTAATGTTCGTTGGAATCTGCCAGTTAGATATGTCCAAATCGTGACTCGGTTGTGCAGGTATAATCGTTGGTAAAACAAATGCTTCCAAATAAGATGAAAATCCAGAATTGTTAGACAACATTTGCATGTTCACACGATGATAAGCCTTCTTCTGGATTTTTCCAACTCCGTCAATAGACAAAGAGGTCTCTGTTGTTGCAATTGATAACCTTTTAATCAGCCGTTCTGTAACAATATTTACTTGTGAACCGGAATCACCGCCTGACATACCATTTGCAGCTTTTATGGTGACTCTCGCAGTGGCAAGAATTACGTTCTTCTGATCTTCTGCTGATGCCGAAGAAATTACAGCAGTATTGACTGGTGTATGATTGCTACTTGTGGTTGACGTTTGATTTAAGCCTGTTGATGATGATTGAGATCTCCTTGATAAATGTAACAACGTATTGTGTTTATTATTACATTTCTTGCAGTTACCAGATGTGCAGTTTTTCGCTATATGATCAGCCTTAAAACAGTTCACGCACATTTTATGTTGTTGTACCCATTGGAGTCTTTCAGATTCCGACATCGCCAAGAATTGCTTACATTGATAAAGACGACGTTGACCATTTTTGCATAGCTTGCAATTACTGTGATTCTCCATTGATGTTATGGACGAAACAGCTTTGCTTGAACCTTTGTGAGCAGTTGCCACTTTCCCAATCGATTCCATTGACTCAAACTGCAATTCCAAAAATGCAAAGAGTTCTTTCATGGAAGGGACCTCCTTCGGCCTTTTTAACGATTGCATAAATCGTATGTACAACGCATGATCCAACTTCTTCGTTATCAATTGGATCAATAGCGCGTCCCACGGCGAAGTGTCAATATCCAGGTTGTTCAGGGCCAACATACATTCCCTCGTCGTATCATGCACAGCTTTGATAGAAGCGGTTGATGTGGTTCCTGTTGGCTGGTTTAGAATACGTTCTACCAATGTTGAAACAAGAACCCGTTTGTTATTGTACCGTTCTTGGAGCAACATCCATGCAGTTGCGTAGTTGTCCTCTGTCAAGGCTAAGTGGCTTATGAGTTTTCCAGCTTCGCCCGACAAATTTGTTTTTAAGTACCACATCTTTTGGACATTAGGAAGATGCTGCTTGTCCACCATCTCCAGAAAGAGTTCATAGAACTGACGCCACTTCAGACAATCCCCATTGAATTGAGGGATTGTTATCTTTGGTAGTGGAAGTGAGCTGTGTGCTACCAAGTCAGTTCCCAATTGAGGTGTGCTTGTTATATTGCCACCGCATTTCTCTTTCAGTATTGGCAGCCTTATCAAGTTGCTTTGAACTGCATCTTCTAGGCTATCGTAGTTGTCTTGATTCAGACCGATTCTCGAAGGATCCTCGACCTGTTGCCAAATTTCATCGTACAGGCCTGTAATTTGGCTCCACAGCCCTTTCATCGACTCTTCTTTTATCACATAGACTTGGTTTGACTGTCCCGTCTCTATATTTTCCAAACTCTGCAGAAGGCGACCGAGGGCTGTGATTCTCGCCTTTACCCTTCGGGCCAGTCCCTCAACTTGAGCCGACGCAGGTTCCTTAACCTGGGCTGATGATTGGGGTTCTGAATCATTTTCTGGCGATCTTGCCTTTGTGGGTTTATCTGGATTGACCTTGGCAGACTTCAGCTTCTCCAACTCCGCCTTTATATAGTCCACTGTTGCATTGCACTTTTCTCCTATGGGCTGGTGCAGATTCTCCGCTATATACGGATCATCCTCTGCCAATGATGGATCTTTGCGGATCTGGTTTTCTGCCGATTCAAACGTCTGCCAAAGCTGCTCTAGCTCCTTACGCTTGCCAATGTAGAATTCCTCAGTTCTTCTTTCAAGCGGTGCCTTCTTAATTGTCGCTATGAATTTTTCGAAATTACTGCCCCTTACTTCTTGTTGGACTATAAGGTTTTGAAGCGATGCCATTGTTGATATTTAAATTTTTTCCAAAGAAATTTGTGTACAAGATGCGTGTGTATCACGTCTGACAAAACCGGATATATGTTGCCAAGTCCTTTACCACTTGTGGGGCAGAAGGCTGTGTTTAACGACACGTATCACGATCAACCTCTTTTACCACTTGTGGGGTAAAAGAATGTGTGTTAACGAACGCGTATAACGACCAAAATCCTTTACCACTTGTGGGGTAAAAGGATGTGTGTAAACGAACGCGTATTACGATTCAAATCCTTTACCACTTGTGGGGCAAAAGGATGTGTGTAAACGAACTCGTATTACGATCAAAATCCTTTACAACTTGTGGGTCAAAAGGATGTGTGTAAACGATCACGTCGGGGTCACCAAAAAATGTTAATATAAATCGGACCTACAGTCCTTAAAATTCTCCTTACAAGCACATAAACTTGAAGGAAAGACGATGATTATTAAATAAATCCAAATGGGTTATGGTCGCTTCATAAAAGACAACTGATTAACTCTTTATTATTTTCATTCTTTTATACAAATAATTTCTTAGCATAATTGATTACTTGCGTAAAGTAAAACTAGGTCAAATATTATTAATACAAAGTGAATAAATAAAATTGTTAAATATTGAACCTAAATAAACGTTAATAAATGGCTGTAATTACGTCACAACTAAACTACAACTTAAATATAAATATGTATGAAAATACGTATGTGTAGCAATAAAAAATAATGCACGCATATGAATGATACTACAGGAAAGGCCGTTTCAAGAGCTTACCAAAACGCAAATCGATCGTGGAAAATTTGAGAAAAATTGATTTTTCTTATTTTTCAAAAGTTATCAACGAGTCCCACTGTGCGAAAACTAAAAATTGTGCAAGCTCATGGAATAGCACGTTGGAAAGCCCATGAGGTATACTTTCAAGATATAAACACTCCTGAAAGATAAATCGGGCAGATTTTTATACCCTCCACCTTGGAAAGGAGGGTATATTAACTTTGTCATTCCGTTTGTAACCTCCTTAAATATTTGTCTTAGACCCCATAAAGTATATATATTCATAGTCAGCATAAAATTCTAAGTCGATTTAACGATGTCCGTCTGTCTGTCCGTCTGTCTGTTGAAATCACGATACAGCCCACATCATTTGACGTAGAGCGCCAAAATTTAGCATTGTGTCTAGGATGGTTGGTATTGAAAATGAGATATATCGGTCCACGTTCTGGTATAGTCCCCATATAACGGTACCTCCCGATATTCGGTATTTTGATGATTTATGCCACATTTTTCACAGATTTGTCTAAAAATTGGTATTTGTGGGTCATAATGGGTCCTAGTTCGTGTGGCGAAACATTGTAATTATAGGTCCACGCTTTGGTATAGCCCCCATGTAACGGTACCTTCCGATATTCGGTAATTTGATGATTTTTGCCACATTTTTTCACGGATTTTTCTGAAAATTGGTATTTGTTGGTCATAATGGGTTCCAGCTTCGGTGGCGAAACATTGCATGCATGGGTCCTTGATTTGATATAGCCCCCATATAACGGTACCTCCCGATATTCGGTATTTTGATGGTTTTTGCCACATTTTTTCACTGATTTGTCTAAAAATTGGTATTTGTGGGTCCTAGTTCGTGTGGCGTGTGTCATTATAGGTCCACGTTTTGGTGTAGCCCCCATATAACGGTACCTCCCGATATTCGGCATTTTAATGGTTTTTGCCACATTTCTTCTAATTTTTCTTTTACCCTAAGGTGGAGGGTATTAAAAGTTTGGCCCGGCCGAACTTAATGTTTTCTTACTTGTTTTTTTAAATATTTTTCTCTGTTTGAAATAAAAAATAAATGTTCATGGCAAAAATTATAATAGATGTTCGATTTAAGATATCTTGAATAGTCCGATCTTATTTTTCAGCCAAAGGCTTTAATTTGAGTGTGGGAATGCTATATGATATAGAACATTTATAATAGCCCCATGTGACAACTCAGCTCAATTTTTGGTATTGTAAAGAGCCTTGCAACATTTTCCATTCAAATGAGCTGTTACTTGGAATTTGTATATCCATATAAAGGTCAATAAAACAATTTTATTTATTTATTATTACAAATTAATAAGAGAAATTACACAACACACAAATCTTACATTAACTTTGTTTTAGAGGAAAACGTCTACTCTAATTTGACGTCAAATTCGAACTAAGTCTTTTTCCATCTCTGTTTATGTACTAAATTTCTCTAAATATGTGCACAGTGGTCCGTATCAGTTTTAAAGTTCATCCTTTTTTCCGGTGGTACATTTATGATATGTGACATTTCTAATGTGAATCGTCTTTATACCCTACACCACAAGGTGGTCAGGGTATTATGTCTTTGTGCATTTGTTTGTAACAGGCAGAAGGAAACGAGATAGACCCATAGTTCCTTTTGATGATCTGCACAGAATCACATTCTGAGTCGATTTATGCATGTCCGTCCGTCCGTCTGTCCGTCTGTCCATGTATTTTTGTAAATAAAGTACAGGTCGCATTTGTTGCCCGATCCTGATGAAATTTTGCAAAGATCTTTTGTTTGGACGAACCCTATTGAAATTGGAGATAATCGGTCAAAATTTAGATATAGCTCCCATATATATCTTCGTCCGATTTCCCTTTTATTGTGCACCAAACGTGTAATATCAGACCGAATTGTATGGAACTTTGCATATACACCCAAATTAGGCCTGAAAATATGTATGCCAAATTTGATCGAAATCGGTTTAGATATAGCTATAGCTCCCATATATATTGTTCATCCGATTTGTTCTTTTTGTCCACCGCCGCCGTAATATGCACTATGCAACAACAATATTTGGGGAAATATATCAAATACAGCTCAGAAATACATTTGCCAAATTTTATCGAGATCGGTTCAGATTTGGATATAGCTCCCATATATAACTTCGTCCGATTTACCTTTTATTGTGCACCAAACGTCTAATATTTGTCCAAATGGGATGGAATTTGACACTTAAGACCGAATTGAGTCTAGAAGCTAGTATGTCAAATTTGGTGAAGATCGGTTCAGATATACCTATAGCTTCTATATATATTATTCATCCGATTTTTTATATTTGTTACCCACAACCGTAATATGCACTCCGTAACAACGATATTCAGGAAAATATATCAAATACAGCTCAGAAATATCTTTGCCAAATTTTATCGAGATCGGTTCAGATTTGGATATAGCTCCCATATATATCTTTATCCGATTTCAAATTAATTGTGCACCAAATGGGCAACACAATTCCGAATTTAAAAGATACAAATGCTTCGGCATATTTAGTCCTTTGAACTTTAAATTATAATTATAATCATAGCGTGTATGATTGAATTCTCCCATAAAAACCTTTAATTGTTATGTGGAGCTCTACTTAATTAGCAAAGTGGTGTAGGGTATCATAAAGTCGGCCCCGCCCGACTTGAAGACTTTCTTGACTGGTTTTTAAATAGTTATCCTTAAATCAAGTGTTTTCTAGAGGGAAACATAAAATGACCCACTGTGCAGCAATAAAAATGGTGCACGCATATGAATGGCACTGCAGGAAAGGACGTTCCAAGAGCTTCCTAAAAAGGTTATTACTTGGCCAAATCGATCGTGAAAAATTAGAGAAAAATTGATTTTTCATATTTTTCAAAAGTTAACAACGAGTCCCACTGTGCGAAAACTAAAAATAGTGCAAGCTTACGGAATAGCACGTTGGAAAGCCCATGAGGTGTACTTTCAAGATATAAACACTCCTGAAAGATTAATCAAACAATTTTTTTTTTAAATATTTTTTTTCTAAAATCAAGTGTTTTCTAGAGGGGAATATAAAATGGCACACTGTGCAGCAATAAAAAAATAGTGCACGCATATGAATGGCACTGCAGGAGAGGTCTTCCAACAGCTTTCTAAAACGCTATTACTTGGCCAAATCGATAGTGGCAAATTAGAGAAAAATTGATTTCTTCTAATTTTTCAAATGTTATCATCGAGTCCCGCTTTGCGAAAACTAAAAACAGTGCAAGCTTACGGAATAGCACGTTGGAAAGCCCATGAGGTGTACCTTCAAGATATAAACACTTCTGAAAGATTAATCAAACATTTTTTTTTAATATTTTTCCTAAAATCCAGTGTTTTCTAGAGGGAAACATAAAATGGCCCACTGTGCAGTAATAAAAAATAGTGCATGCATATGAATGGCACTGCAGGAAAGACCGTTGAAACAGCTTTCTAAAACGCTATTACTTGGCCAAATCGAACGTGGAAAATTAGAGAAAAATTGATTTTTCTTATTTTTCAAAAGTTACCAACGAGTCCCACTTTGCGAAAACTAAAAATTGTGCAAGCTCATGGAATAGCACGTTGGAAAGCCCATGAGGTGTACTTTCAAGATATAAACACTCCTGAAAGATAAATCGGGCAGATTTTTATACCCTCCACCTTGGAAACGAGGGTATATTAACTTTGTCATTCCGTTTGTAACCTCCTTAAATATTTGTCTTAGACCCCATAAAGTATATATATTCATAGTCAGCATAAAATTCTAAGTCGATTTAACGATGTCCGTCCGTCTGTCTGTCTGTTGAAATCACGATACAGCCCACATCATTTGACGTAGAGCGCCAAAATTTAGCAGAGCTATTTGCATTGTTTCTAGGATGGTTGGTATTGAAAATGAGATATATCGGTCCACGTTCTGGTATAGTCCCCATATAACGGTACCTCCCGATATTCGGTATTTTGATGATTTATGCCACATTTTTCACAGATTTTTCTGGAAATTGGTATTTGTAGGTCATAACGGGTCCCTGAGCGTGTGGCGAAACATTGCATGCATGGGTCCATGATTTGATATAGCCCCCATATAACGGTACCTCCCGATATTCGGTATTTTGATGGTTTTTGCCACATTTTTTCACTGATTTGTCTAAAAATTGGTATTTGTGGGTCCTAGTTCGTGTGGCGTAATAT